GGGTGGTAGATGAGGGTAAAAGGGATCAAATACATGGTGATGGAAGAACTGACTCTGGGTGGTGAACGCACCATGTGATATATAGATGATATAGTACAGGACTGTACATCTAAAAGTTATGTACCCTTACTAACAATTGTCACCCCAATAAACTTTAATTTAAAAAACAAAAACAAAAAACAATATATTTTACAATTTTTAAAAAGCTCAGTAACAAAATATACCTTATTTATGTATTTTCAAAGAAAAAATAGTGAGATATATATCACAGAAGCAGATACACACATATATATATATATGATATACATCCACATATATATACATACATATATACATATACCTACATATAATAAATATATATAATTAAGAATGAAATGTTGCGAACTACATAAACCAAATATTTTTCATTAATCCTTTCTGAATCAGAAAACCAGAACAATGGTAATATCTTTTGGATACTAATTATTGTTGGAAACTACGAAATATATATTTCTTTTTGTTTTTAATTTAGTGACCTCAAAGGCTATGACAATTATTTCCCTGTCATTCTATTTTCCAGCACTTTTTACAAAAAGACAAGGAGTTGATTATGAAATTCAGATCCTGTGTTGATGTGTGAAATAATGACAATATAGTCTTCTATTGGCCAAATGATCACTTTTTGTGAAATAAGGACAGTTCTGTAAATTTAAATGCTTCTTCTTTACTCAGACAAAAAAATAATAAAATCATAAACTAAGATGTAATAAAACATGCTAATGTATTTTACTAGGAGTATCATACTCAATGCTACTCACCCTGATGACATTAATAGCTGTTTTTGTTTTTAGCCCTATAGGGAATACCCATAGACTGTAGAACTGCTACCAGATTATGTATGAAATAATGGGTTACTCACTATAATTTATCTGCTCTGAGATTCTATAAGGCCCAGATTGGATTGACTCAAAGTTTAGGTGATAACTGATGGCTGAGAAAATTTATCGTTATGTAGATTAAATAAATTTGTACTTTTCAAATGAAGATTTTGATCTTTTGATATAGATGTGCATAGACATATGGATATATAGAGGGAAAGCATGTAAATATAAGTGAAATTTAGATAAGGCTAACATTGAAATTAAGAGTTTCAATTCTCTATATCAAAACAATAAATGTTATAGAAATGGTAATTCTAAGAAAGGGAATCCTCCTTCACATCCTGCATAAATCAATTATATTCATGGAATCATTTATATTCATGGAATCAATTATATTCAAGATACTCTATTAGGCTGCATGAAGGGAGAAAATACACTGAAAGGAGGCTGCATTGTGGCACGTAGATCCAGAAAACCTTGTCTCTGCTTCTGATTCTGTCACTAAAGCCAATATAATTCTATAGATGCCAACTAATTCTCTGAGGTTTCTTTTTCTGCAATATGAGGTGCATGGCACTGCTGCCATT